TCATTCTGAAGCAATGACTGCTTGAATTTATTCTGGTAATAGTTCAGAATGATAATTGCCTGGACTACGGGGCTAATCCTTTTCTCTTTCAGATCAATCAAAACTGTAAGAAAGATTCCTAATAATTTGAGTACGAGGTTGCTATGACTATGTATGAGTAACATGGTCTGAATTAATTTTATTTTAATGCCTTTACCGAGGTCAAAAAAATGGACAATGTATTTTGAAATGAAAACATTGACAGTACTCAGTAGCTTCTGAGTAACCATCAGTTATCCTTTTCTGAAGTGAGTAACTGGCTGTTTTATTTTAATGCGTCAGATTATATCACTGTAGAAGTTCAAAGCAAACCTTATGCCTTTATTAGCCATGGCATGGAGATCCAGGCAGACCTAATTTGTTAACTTTTCCCTAGCAATGCAAGGATTGTGCATACAGTCATGTCCATTAGTGTTTCACGCTCTTGTCCAGAAGATGTCCCATAGACATGCTTTAAGTTATCATGGCTTTGCTTCTGAAAATGTGGAAGTGGGTTCTCTCAGCAATTACAATATCTAAGAGATACTTACCAGAAAGCGGCAAGACATCCCAGATAGTCTTGATGAGATTAAAGATGGCTTCTCATGACATATTTCCTGAAAAAACTTAACTTACCAATGATGAATACAAAAACTGGAAGAATTTACTGAGCTCATCAGTAAGTAACTATTTTATTTTTCCATTGTTGATATGTTGTATAAATAAAAGACTACATGGTGAGTGATTTTGTAGACTACTATTCATTTTTGATTATGTATATCAAGGATTCTGATCCAAAATTGTTGATTTCCCAATAGATATATAAAAAAATTCCCACTGATACTCGTATTTTGTTATCAGTCATGGCTGTGCTCTGTGAACATAAATGTGGAATTCATTTGCGTCTTTTTGGTACTTTAGTCCAAGAACATCGTGAGCAATGCAGATGGCATTAGCTCCACAGCTCATCTCCTTGACATGTTCTGGATCTGTGCTGTACTTCACTGACGAGTGTCTTTGTGGAAAGGTTGTGTTCTGCCAGCATATTTACAATTGCCCCCTTTGCCTTCACTCATTCTGAAAATTGATTAATGTGGTAAACCACTGTGGCCACTTACCCCAACACACAAAATACTGTGTGTAAGGTAAGGTTATGTATGCCCTTTGCTACTAATATGTTCCACAGATCAAACAAAGCCAGAGAGAGGAATGTTTTTTGTTTCCATAAGAAAAGAAAGTTAAAAGGTTCAAAAGACTGGGAAAAATATCCTTTTTTTTTTTTTTGCATTATATTCAATCTGATGAGCTGCCCTTGTGTCATTGTTCTTAAGAATGCCTTCAAGACAGCAATATATAAATGGAAAGAGAAGGAGGAAAAACAGATCAGAACAAGACATCAAGATAGGAACAAAAAATTAAGTGCTGTCATACGAATCGGATTGCAATCAGCTAAGTTCTTTTTTCCTACTAAATTAACTTTTCTGAATCTCTGTCTTCTATATTGTGCTAGCTATCGTCTCCTGTATTAAGATAAATATGTTAGCTGAAAGGCTAGTTATGCATTCTGTTTTTCAAGTTGCATATTAAAACTGATGATCACTCGATGGTAAGTAAAAAATCCCGCCCTCCAATGTGTCCTCAGCTGCTTTAAAAGTGTGTTTATCATATTTACATGTACCATGAAATCTTGATTAAAAAATTGGTTGAGATCCAAGGTAAGAATTTCATCTCTCTATTTTGCAATGGTCAAGCATAGTTTGGAGTTTTGAGTAGAGAACCATCAATTTGATTAGTTCTATATCAGACACATGAGAAAAGTCATGTTGTAGTTTGAAAATGCATTATTTGTAATGCTCAAATGAAAAAGACAATTAAAATGATTTCTGTTTTGAAACAGAATTCAGTGGTTGCCAAAAAGTTTATCTTGGCATACTTATCACTTTGTGCAGGTTGGGGAAGAATGTAGCTTCAGGACACTTTATATGTGAATGGCCTGGAACCCAGATCTCCCACTTTCTGTGTGAATCTGCTACACAAAATGTGGCTATAGGTAGGAACATCTCATCCTTTAGTAGTTGCATTTTTTAGAGAAATCGTGAACAGTGTTTAGTTCTTTGAAAGAACATCTTGAGAAGATCTTGGCCCGGAAGACAATTCCAGACTCTGTCAGCAGTCTCGGAAATCTTTCTCTTTAAAACTTAAAAAACTTTAAAAAAAAAAAAAAAAAAAAAAAAAAAGGATGAGGAGAGAAGGCCCTTCCCTTCATTAATTTCCTCATGAAAGAGGTCTAGTTTAGGAACATGAATTGCCACATCCGTTCTCCTGGTATTTACTGCACATAATGTTATCACAGCTCAAGGCTTGAACTAAAAGCCTATCCGATTCATGTTTGTCCATAATTTCTTTACCTCCTGTCCATCATTCTTGTCTCAGGTTATTGTGACATTTCATGAAACTTTTATCTATTTCCCATACCTATTTTCAAAATGAGGCTGTAGCTATAGGCACTGGTTATTTAACAGATGCCTAAATGAAAGCAATACTTCTCATACTCTGTGCTCAGAAAGCCATAGTTTTATTGTATTTTGTATCTCATTTTGTTTGAAATATGTTCCTATAAATGAAACTTAGGTTAAACTGAATTTCTCCTTCCACTAATGCAAGGTTCTCTTTCTTCTTTTTCCCTTCCTGCTTTCCTTCCTTTTTTCTTTTTCTCTTTCTCTCTCTCTCTCTGCCTCTCTCTTTCTTTCTTTCTCTCTCTCTCTTTTCATACACACACACACACACACACACACACACACACACATCCAGACACATATAGTATGTAGGAAGCACAGGAGACTCTGAACAAATTTCAGTGCTAACCATTTTGTTTCTGTGGATACCGAACACAGGGGTTTTGAAGTGGCAAGTGAAAGACCTTTGGATGGACGCTGCACATTCCTGACCCCTGTGGTGTCACTGGAAACGATGAGCGTCTTTTTAAGACTAAATAGACCTAGACAGGCATAGGACACTAGGGATTAACTCAAAAGGTAGGGTCAGAGAAAAGATAAGGTTTATATAGCATACAGATTAAAGCGAAAAGAATAAGATTAAGGGAAGAGACACTCTTACAAATCAGTATAGTCAAGAGTGAGACTGCCGCTTTCTCTTTACTGAAAAGCTAAAACTCCCTTTATTCAGAAATGTTCAAAGGTAATAAACAGTGCCTTGAACTCCTCTAGCCTCCTTTCTTTTAACTTTATCCTTCTAGTACACCCCGTGTTACATCCACCAGGGAGATCTTTGACTCTTTCAAAAGCAAGTAGCTCAATTAGAAAAGAAGCAACATTTGCCACATAGCCCACTCACTACCACGGCCTCCTTTAATCCAGTCTAAACTGAAAGCACTCATTTATATGTCTGCTTTGTCACAATGGGACATATTGATTATCAATACGGGGACCACGTTTTCCAAAAAGGTCAAGTATAGGACCCATCATGTACAACTGTGATATTATTTTGTAAAGATTCCTGCTCTATGACATTTATGGACAGATTTTCAATAGATATTGTTTCCAGGGCAGGGTTGCTCTAGCCCCTTTACTTATGTGGTCCCAAAGACAGTGGTGCTGAGCTCTTCTTAATACCTAGGGACTGGCTTTCGTTTTATCATTTCATTAGTATGATGGGGCTGTAATCCATGAGAAAGAAGTTAATAATGCCATGGTAATAGAAATACATATACACACACAGGAGAAACAATAAATGTTTCTAACTCTTAATTATTAAATCAGAAAGTGAATGTTCTGAATATAGCTCATTTTTAAATTCTATTCTGAAAATCCATTTCTAACTTGAAGTGTCAAAAACTAAGGTGCATGGCAGGCTTTTAGATTTAGATTGCTAAATTTGTTATCGATGCTGAGTATTCCTGCCATAACAATTACTCCACTGAGCAATTAAACAATCATTGCTCTAACCCATCCTGGCTTATTCCTATCTGTAGCCAAGAGAAGGTCTTGTCACTGTGGAAAGAACCATAATCTAGCAAATACTACTTCAGCTGCTTTTGTGCAAGGGGTGCATACAGTTATAATTTGTAATCTCTTATTTCCTCTACATCTTCTCATTGCTTTTCTCTTAGCTGTAAAAATAGAAACAACAATTTCCATTTCTTGCCAGCTTATGCAACTAAATAACATAGGTGAAAGATTTTTTAAGTGCCTTATGGAAAAGTTGAATTAAAGATATGAATGTTTTATTGATGAACTTATCAGACGTGGTCCTTTCTTTTGTCATGGATTCTTTTCATGTTAGTCCATGACAATTTAGAATTCTCTAAGAGCTGTAGATTTATGGTTTATTACAAGATTAAGAGACTGTTTAGAACAAAACAAATTAATTGTAAGTTATATACAGAACTTAGTTCCTGGTTCCTCATTCCTTCACTATAAGACAGGCTTTCAAAAGTCCGTTCTCCAAAAGGAAAACCAACAGGACCAAAAGTGAGTGGAAAAATATTTAAGCAAGAATGTGAGGGATAAGTGGGAGTGGTTTCTAAAAGTTGTGCTGGATACCTGAAGAAACAGAATTTTCTATTGACAAAAAGTATTTTCTTTAGTTAAAAAGCAACCTTGGCTAAGAGGGAGGTGAAGTTCGTGATAAAAAATAATGGAAAAATATGGTGCCTGATAGCAGTGAATAAAGTCAGTATTAGATAATGTAGAAAAGTGATAAAGAATACTATAGGGATCAGTGGAAAATCTGTAGCTAATCGGGCAAAGATAACAAGAAACTCTTTAAACAGGAACAAAATGCTTACAGAATTAGAGAACTATGGACGATGATTGCCTTTTCTCTACTAGGTCTGAAAATTCTGAATTAAATAAATATATCAGTTTTCTAAAAGAAGAATGAAATATTTTTGATTTCACTTCTGAGGAAGAATGCTAAACAGCAACACTAAATATTTTTAAATCTACAGAACTAGATAATTCTCCGTCAAGACTACTACTTGTCTGTGGAGCTCTCTACTAGGGAAGTTCCTGAAGTCTGAAAAAAATCAGTCCTGTCCCAGCAGTAACAAATGGTAAGCCCGCTGGCCTTCAAAACAATTTGCTAGTTAGTCCAATCTTTACTTGGAGAAAAAATCTTGGATGCATTGAACTAAGACTTAAAGGATAGCAGAATGATTGATGCCAGCCAATGTGACTTTATAGAAATAACTTTTTTCAAGTCATCCTGTGTCTTGATGAAATAGTAAATAAATTCATGAAGTAATAGTGCTGATGGAACATACTTAGATGTTTTACAGTTTCAGAGACATTGCATGGGGCTGGCAGATGCGGCACAGGATCCATGGGAGATCAGTGCCTGTCTGGAGTGTTAGCTAGAGGCCAGGTGTGATGCCTGAGGCATCTCAAATTGCATGGAATATCTATGTTTTCACAGCTGGATTGTCCCCTACTGCCCACGCTAAATGGGATTCATCTGCCTCACCGAAGGCATCCAAAAATACCTCAGATGCCTGAGTCAGAACTGGCTTCCTTTTACAATCAACAGAGAAAATAGGCCCCTTCCGGGAGCTTCATCTGACCTAAATGAAATATCTTTCTTAGGGAGAGGTGAAACATCACCTTAAGGTTCTGAATTTCTCTCCATCATCTGTGAGGAAACCTAGTATGGCTGAAATTAGACAATATCAACTTAATGCAGTTCAAAAAGAATACTGACAGTTTGGAAATAGCTTGGAAAATATCTGCAGAAGTGTTTCAGTGCTTGGAAAAGGTCCTTTCTAGTGAGGAACTAAAGAAATACAATCAATCAATTGTCTTTGTCCAGAAGTGGTTAAGAGGTTGCAGCCTATGATTACGTCTGGAGAAGAAATATTTCATAGTAGGAGGCTCTTTAATCTAACAGAAAAAAAAAAAAAAATCCAACAGCTGAAAGCTTAAACCAGCACAAAATCAGTGCAGAAATTAAAGTGCACGTTATTTACAATGGAGGTAGCTGTATGAAGCTGTGTGACTGTTACAGCTAGTGACTGTAAAAGCTTATCTCGGGATACAGAGGCTTCTCTTTGCCTTGAGTGCGTATCTAAATGATGTGCTACCATGCAAACCAAAGAGATGAGCTTGGTTACATTCCTGGTGAGAGTCTGTGGCCTGGGATACACTAAGCAACAGACCGGATACTTACAGTTATTCATTCTGGCTTTCACACCTATGAATTTCAAAACTTGTTTTCATAAAGTAGAAAAGAAGCGTTGCACATTTATCAGAGTTGCTGCAAGTTCCAAGGAGGTCTCAGACAAATTATTTACTACGGCAAAAAGGAAGGTGAAAAATGGTAAAGATGATAAAGAGGAAAAAAGAAAAATAATTACACAGAATTTCTTCTCCCATTGCCATCCATTTTGGTAAAAATCATTTTAATTCAGTTTTGAATCTAAAATTGATATCAAATTTTATTTCTTTTTTAATTCACTAAGTTTTTGAAGAAAGGAAAATATTTATTTTAATTTGTTTCTATTTATTTCTATTTATTTGTATTTTCCTGCCAGTTTATCTTCTTTTTTTTCTCTGGTTTTAGTTTTCCCTCCTCTTATTTCACTAAAAATACTTGGAAAGGGAAGACTAAAAAGGAAGAGAGAGGAAGGATATTTTAGGTTTTTTAACCAAAGAATTTATTTGGCTGGAAATGAAATGAAACACAAATTTTCCTGTTCCTTCATGACATTAGAAATGCACACTCACACACAATGTTATAAAACTATATTAAGCTTTTTTTCAAAACTTAATAAACTTTGAAAAATGCACAAACAGCCATAATAAATAAAAACTCATGACAGTATTTAATGATTAAGTGATTTTCATGATGCCTGTGTACTTTTATCTTTTTTTCCAGTACTTAGAAAAAATTTACCACAGCTTTACAACTACAAAGAATTAAGTTGTTGCTTTACATCTTTATACAACAGCTGTTGCTGAAGCGCTTTTATAAATGAGATCGTTTTATAACAAAGCGTCATATAGGAGATTCTCTTCTATTTAGTTAGCTGGGAATGCAGGCAGCCTTAACCCACTTGCTGTTATGTCTAGAGCCTTTATACATATATATATATATATTTTTTTTTTTGGTTGCTGTTTACAGCCTTTTTTATTAGTGTGGCTTTTTTTTTTTTTCAGAGTACAGGTTTGTGGAGCAAGCAACTGTTCATTTGTTTTGTCAGTAATGGAAAGAAGACTTGAACAGCTGATGACAGGTAATTTGGGCTGGTGTTCAAGATCTTATAATGGAACAGTGTGGAAAGCTATCACTTTATCTTATAGTGACTGTATAAGTGTGACAAGACTTTCAGAACAGAAGAAAAAATTTACACTTCATAGGGTAAATAATAAAACATGAGAAAATAGACAGGGGTGTTAAGAATGATGTACAGAAAAATTATATGCAAGAAGCCATTTCTGGTGCGCAACAAGGCATTTTACTGGACCTACTCAATTTTGGATAGTGATTCATGACTATCATGTGTTAGCACCTCTTCTATCAACTTTTAGTACATGGATAAATCTACTGTTATGTTTGAAATATCTGTGTTCCTGTAATGGAAAATGAGATATGTCACCTAACTATGGACTTTCAGGAATTTCTCAGCAAATCTAACATGCTTGCATTTTGTCCAGTTGGAGTGTCTTTTCTACTTGTCATTTACTGCCTGGAGGTTTCTCTTCTGATGTATTTTCTGGCACTTCTTTGGCAGCTCTTGAAGGTTTCCAGTAAGTCAGCCCCAAACATTCATGGCTGTCTTCTGTTCCAGAGCTACTTCCATGCAGGAATTCTTTTTTCCATTATCCCGCAAGGATAGCCATTCCTTTGTTGTTTCCTGGAAATGACAGCAGTAGTAATTAGAGCTGTCCTCTATTTCTACCTTGTCTGACCTTGAAAGTACCTTTTGTATACACCCTCCTGTCCTCTGCTGCTTTGCTCAGTCACTGGCAATCCTCTTACTGCCTGTCCTACGCAGAGCTCAGGGAGTTCCCTATTACTTCTGTTACAGCAGTATTTGGCTCCCCGCTGCCACTTTTTAATTCATTCTGTCAGCTTTCCTACCACTGCTGGCTTCAAAAGTTTATTTGCTGTAGGCAACAAAGAGTCCACATATGGAGTGCCTGGAGAGGCTGTCCTGGCTGCTGCCCATGCCTTCTGTTAGTGCACGTCTCCAGTTGTTCAGTTGCTTCTTACCTTGCTCATGAAGCTGTGAAAACGCTCATTTTTCACAGATATCCCCACACATTTGCGTTGCCAGTTATCACTTGTGATAAGTAACCCAGTGGTTTAGCCTAGCCTCACAAAAAATTAAAATAGAAAATACCTTATGAAGAGTTAAGGCGATAGTCTGATCATCAGAAGCCATATGCCGCACAAGAATGCCCAAAGCTATTTGCTTTAGCCAAATGCAGAGACCATGTACCATTGTCCTCATCATTGTTTAATAATACCAAATTACAAAATGTTTGGATACACAGAAATATTTCCTGTAGCTAGTCATGACGATTGAAAACTTGTCACTTGCTTGCTCAGTAGCACTTGCTTGTTCCTGATAGATACTGGTCCCCAAGAATTACCTACAGATTCTGCTCTTCTCTTTGTCTTCCAATCTAAAAGGGTTTAGCTTCATTGCACTACCTGATGTGACTTATTTTTCAGTTTATTTGTCATTTTGCAACTATTAGATCTGCCGGATGTCATTAGACTCTTGCTGGCACTGTGTTGCAATGTAGCAACTGGATTAAAAAAGGTTCATACAGTTTCTGTAATCTGAAATAGAATGTATTGGATTAAGAAAGGATCATACCGTTTCTATAGTAAAGAGGTACAATTAAAGGCAAAAGTTAGATAGGGTAATGGACAAATGGTAGACAGCAAGTCAATAATTAATGACAATAAAAAGCAGCTACTCCTTCAGGCAGTTATATCCTTTTCATTAATCTAACCAAGTTCTACAACAATATTGAGAAAAAAGCAGCGTGAAAAGGCATGTTTTACCTCTAGGCTATAGCTATTTTTTGTGCATAGTCCTCTGTAGCAAAGTTCTTGAGAAACAGAGAAGTCCTATTTTTAATTCCTTGAAGCTTCCTTCATTGACCACCATAAAAAAAAAAAAAAGAAGAGTAAGAAGAGTTTGTCAATATTCAGACAAATACCCTGAACAGTACAAACACTGAAGTTGCTCCTCCTGCTAAGGAATGTTTAAGCTCGCTAGGTACATTTATTTTTGGATATATTGTTGCATTTTTATTTAATCCTCAGACAACTGCACTTTTAATTTTAAACCTATATAAAGCAACCTCCAAAATTAAACAGCTCTGTATTTCAGTTCCTGTAAATTGGACCATGCAATTAATAATACACCCAGTGTATTACTGTTGAAGAATAGACAGTGAGTTATATCTATTTTTTCTGAACTATGTCGGGTTTTAGCCACCTACCTTCCATTCACGTTAATGGGACTCACACAGATAAATTGTTCTCAACCACATACTTAAGATTTCACCCTTCGGTCTCAGGCTAGGCCTTCGATTACATTCTAAACAGCCAAACACATCCTGCAGTTATAAAAGACTTATGCCTGGGCATTTAACATAAAGAGAGAAATACTAAAATAAGGTTATTTGGCAGGAACTAGAAAAAATTGTTATTTTATAAACGACAGACAGGACAGATGGAACTAAAAGTCATGCAGCTGAGAGACAGATCAAAGAAGAACAACTACTTCCTTGATGTAGGAAAGAGAAAGCAACAACAAAGTGTGCCGTACAGCCTGTGCTCCAGACATGGCCAGGTCAGCTAGTGGAGCTTAGAGAAACTTCTGAGCAGAGTAAAAGCAACGATAGTTAGGAAGAAGGAAACGCATGAATGTGTTGAAAATACAGAAAGGATTATTTAAAATATGTTTATTAGATTCCTTCCCAGTAGAGCTGCCAACTCATGGGCTTTCTTTAATGAACACTATGCAATATATTAAATTATTTTAATATTGAGGTGCCAGTACCAGGGAGTCGGGTGTTGTTTATTTTCTAAAGGAAAAAAATGGGAAGTAAACCTAGTGACAAAATTCTGAGAAACGTGAACCTTCCGACTCAAGAACTAGAGCATGTGTGTGTGCTCAGGAGGGTAGTGCAGAGGGAGAGAGAGAAAGAGACAGAGACAGAGAGAGGGAGACAGACAAAGACATTTTAATCTATATTTAAATTATCTAAGCCCAATCCTATGTTTTTATAACCTGACTTGTTCAATACTAGAATTGCATTTCAGTTACAGAGTCTAATTGTGTTCAGCCTTTTGCTGTAACTTATTTAAATGACATTAGAAATTGTATTGGAGAAGCAAGCTGCCTCGCAAATCTGCAGCTATTCAAAGGCTCAGTTCCTGCCCAAGAAACATAACCCAGGAATCAAGTCTGGAAGGCAGGAAACAGTTCTGGACAACCTAGCCAAGATGTCATAACACACTTATACAAGTGTCTAATTTTAAGCACGGGACACACCTGCACTCGGACTTGCTTACACCAAGTTACGAGTTCTTCTGAATCAGCACTTTGTGCAAGTCAGCCCTTTCAAAGTCCTGTGGAAATCCACTACACATTCCCTAATTGTGTGTGTGGAGATCATTTTACGTGGGAATGGTTGTGAAGCCAGGTTCTATCATATTTTTAAATCCACTTCACCAGGAAACGGGGACGTAGTTTGGCATTAGCTTCCAACATTAAATCTATTTAGATAGAGCAGGCCTGCCGAGAACTGTTTCCTCAGGATATATATTTTAACCAAATAGTGCTTCATATCTACTTTTTTCAGAGGGAAAGGACTTTTAAAATAGCTTTTTACATTTTCTTTCAACCTAAATGCTATTCAAAATATAAATTAAAGCTTGATGAACGTATCTAGAAGAATAAAGGAAGAAGAGAGGGCAGGAGGAGTAGGTATTAAAGTAAGCGGTGTTCCTCTTGCTATTCCGTTAACAGCACCCACGAGAAGACCCATCTTACATTTCATAGCAGTTCTCTTTTTCTCCCATTTCCCTTTCCCTCTAGAGCATCATTTACAGGAAATGTATATCCCTAATATTTTCTATCGTCTATCACTTGGCAATTCATTATTTGCTACAAACTAGTGTTCTTGGTCTTTCTGGAGTTTAAGTTGTATTTTTAGTTTCTGTAGGCTTGAAGCACAAATTATATATTCATTGATAGGAATGCATTTTACAGCATAAAGCTTGCTTCTTTCTGCCAGTGCTCCTTTCAAATGACTCATGGATTCTTCAGGTAAAATAATAATTAGCTCCCAAGAATTAAAATAAGAATAATCTATACTGACTGTCAGTGCTTTATAGTAATGTTGGCTAACAGGATAAGAACAAATGAACATTTTTAGTTTCTTTCTGTCTTGCTAATTTGCAGCTAAGATTACATTTCTGTGGCTTTCACCTCCTATGGCTCAAGAATTCTGACATTTGTGCTTGCCTCCTGTTGTTACCCCTCAGACTCATCCATGCAGTTCTTCTATGCCTAAGTGAATACAAATTAACAACAACAAAATTGTTCAAGAACATTTGGTCTTTGGAAGAAAAGCACTTGTCACATAATCCTGTGGTTACTGAAAGAACAGGAGGGATTTTCACTGATGTCATTAGCAGTTGGATCAAATTCAAGCATGGATTTAGCCGAATGGCGAGGGAAGAAAAGTGCTCTGGTGAGTCCTCCCCGTGGTTAGCGTTGCTTTCTGCAGCACAGGAGCTCTGTCCCCACAGCCTGGTGCAGAGTCATGGCTGTGCTGCCTTGGGCCGCTCCCAAGGATCTCTATCTGCAGTAAGAGCATGGCTTTATCTGCAGGTGGGATTGAAATATCCAAATAAAAACAAGTTCCTGCCCAGTCTGTTTCAGATACTTCACGGTTTTATGGGTGTTTGGACCAAAGTGCTTTGACTCCTTGTTAGCAATGAAGTAGCTGCATGCTAAAATTTGTAATCAGACTGGAGTCCACATTATACTAATGTCAGAGAATTCGGATCTAATATTGTGGAGTAGGCTGGTATCATATGGCAGTTTGCTGTTTGGAAATTATATCAAACTGGTGACAATGTTAAACGCCTGCTCATATGTTCAACTTCTATGTTGAATATATTTGAATTATTGAATTTTTTTGTTCTCGAAACCAGGTGCAATGGAATAAGAGGAAACTGAGTCTGCTTTACACCTTTAACACTGAATATTGTGCTGTGTGCATGACGGTCAGTGTAAGTCATCTGAAGTGAGGGGCTTCAAAGGAGGTTATAATAAATTCAGTTATCATTTTTCTAACTTTGTTTTGTGACTTTTTGTTCAGCTGCGATAGGTAGAACATAAATACTGCAATATAAAATTTTTCACTGATGCTTTAGCAGTGGAAGGTGGACCTTACCCAAAGTTGTGTGTAGAGAGCTGTGAAATGTGGCACTCGAATCTCTCAAAAGAACTGGTTTTCTTCAGTGAAAAGAAGAAAATCAGGCTGAAAATCAATTATATGTAGATTGGCTATGAGAGAGACAAGCTGTTCTGTTGATTTAGGCATGACCTGTGTGGTGATGCTTCATCTCCCACTGAACTAAATATTCTTTCGAATGACATGTTAATGGGAGGGCATCCAAAATACTTACTAGGCAAATGAATGTGTTATAGCCAGATGGTTTATTTGGATTTTCGGTAATCCTCAGAGGATCAGAAAAGGAATTTATTTAGGATTCAGAAAGTTATGGTGTGCAGTTACCTGTGTTAAAGTATCTTGAAATTTAATAGGTTATAATTGCAAATCGATTCTTTCCTTATTCTGCCTTATCTATAAAACCTTGAGGAAAATGGCAGACGACTTTTCATGGGATGGTAGGAGCAGAGGTGGGAGACGTTTAGAGAATAGGGTTGTAAAAGGGGTGCTGAAGCAATTTACCCAGTGTTCCTTTATGCTATTTTTAGGACTATTTGAATCTTTCATCCCACATGACATTCCTTCTATTCAAAATTTATCAGTAAGACCACAACGTATGTTTCAGAAGATTACATATGTGGGCCTACGAATACATCTGTTTTTTTAATAGATTGAGTTTATTTTGTGATGTCTCTTCTTTATTTGAACACACTGTAGTAAGATAGAAGCTTCTAATTCAATATCATACATGCTTGCTGTTCATGCTTTTAGCTCAGTACATGTCTGGTCAAATATCCTCAGCATAGGCATAGTCTGTGCAGCTGGGAGAGCAAGCCACAGGTGCTGTATAAAGGCTAGCTTTTTTTCCACCTGCTTCCCTAATATATAGGTTTTTTGTTTGGTTGTTTTTTTTTTCACTGTGAGCATGAATGGGTCCCTCTGATGCCGCTGTATATTCTGCCTGCAGTGGAAGTGGAAATTCACTTCCACTGAATATGGGGTTTTGTCTGGAGCACATATCTGCTGGGAAAAAAAGAACTCTTCTCTGAAGCATGTCAGAAATTCTTGTCTTCTGTAGACCAAAAGCACTGGCAGCAACAGCAGACCAAAATGATTCCTATCTATGGTACAGTTAGGCAATAAACAAAACGCTTAAAAACCTAATGCACCACTTGAGCAAAATGTAGAAGTCTAAATTCTAGAGGGTAATTCAGAAAAGCCTGTACAAGGCTGCTTGTTACCTGATTTATCCCAGCTGCTAAAAGTGTTGGGGAGAACCTGCGCCACACACCCACAGTTCCACTACTGGGGAGGCACAGCAGTGTTGCATGTTTACTGTGCTGGCTGCTTAGAAAACTCTCTCCCCTGAGTGATGCAGACAATAACCGTTCATGCACCTAGGGTCTCTCCAGAGCCCCATTCGCTAAGTGTACGTACCTGATTGATTGTATTGTGTTCTACTAAAACTGATGTGCAATGGCATAATGGCATGGCAGTAAGGGTACACTGAATTGATTCTGATTTTTTCACAATGGCAGACTGCTGGATAGACTGTGGAGCAGACAATCAAACCTCAGGATTTTCTTCCTTCTCTTCCTCACTCTACTGACTTATAAGTCCTAGCTACTGTGCTATAAGTCTTGGCATTTTTCCTTTTGGCTTCATGCACATGGCTTAGCTCTTAGAAGCAAACTCCTCTCCAAATATCTGGATATTCTTGGAACGTAGGATCTGTCTGCTCAGTCTCCCGCAGGCTGGGGAAAGCCTAATCTCCAGCTTTTGCAATTGCAGGCCAAGTTCTTTAATGACTGACTAGGCAGAGGAAGAGCTACAGGTCTGTGCTCAGAAATGTGCTCAGGCTCTGAATCCGAGTCTCACAAAAGTGCTGAGTGGCAGTCCTGAGATACCTCACTTGTTGTGCTTGATAACCCTCCTCGCTATGAATCGTAGGCCTGGGGAGTAATTCTCCTACCTGGTGTCTGCAGAGATATCTGGAGGTCTCAGCTAGCATCAGGACTTCCTTACCTGGTTCTGGGCACCTCACTTTAAGCTGTGCTGAGCCTTACCACCTAGATCCTGTCATACAGCAGGAGACTGTCGTTAGTTATGTTTCATGACATATCACCCTCATTTTCTATGGAGTCATCTCCACTGTCCCAGCACGTAATTAATGTCGTCCGGAATACCAGCAGCATGTGCAGCCATCCTTGTGAACCATGGCATAAAAAAGCTTACCAGTCCTTGCAGTTAGAAAGCAGTCCTTACACCATTTGTCACTGCTCACTCCGTTTCATTGTGAGCGATGCCTTTGCATGAAATGTAAGCCATAGCTATAAGCCAGATGTCAGTAGAAAAGTGGATTATCCCTGCTTCAGCGTCCCTTATTGTGATTCAATTTTTGTACACGATAGGCACTACTGTTCAACAGGCAGCTCTGTCACTGGTCAGCATTTGATTTGAACAAACATTTTGAGACAGTAAAGTGGAGAGGTGTTTAGTCAAACAAATAATCAGTGGGTAGATGAAACTAGTAATACAAGCATGCTGTAAGCTAGGAGTAACACTGGGAGAGCATATGTATGTTTGAAGCCAATGATTTTGAGTTGCCTGAATACATAAGGAAGGATATTTTTGAAAGTAATGGAGACTAAAGGAGCTGAGAGAAAATGAAAGCTTTTTTTTTTTTTTTTTTTTGCTCATTGATTTGGTAATAAGAAATATATTGCTTGGCTTGGCAACATTTGATCTCAAAATTCATTTTAAGGATTCAGGAGCAAAATTCAGATGACCCAGTGCAGCTTCTGCCTAAGTGGAGAGTTGTTTTTCCAATTGTTTTAACAGGCAACTTATGACACAAGTGAAACTCTCTTGTGGTACATAGAGGTTGGTGTAGTTATCAGGAGAAAACAGCCTTCTTGATGTGTAGAGAAGACAGAACTCTTTTAATATCCACAATATCATTTTAATGTTTGATAAAAGATTCTGTACATACTTGGGTGTATGCATATGTACACACAACACACATACATACAAAGAGATATTAGCAATATGCTTCCAAAAAAAACATTTTCTGCAAGTATGACTTTTCAGTATCTTTAGGAAAACTACAAAAAATCCAGCAGAAGACAGTGAAGAAAGAGAGAAAAAATTACGACTTCCTGTAAAGTAAAATGAAGTTAATTGTAGGGTCTTTCACTTCAGACCAAGAATACTGTACAGTATATAGAAAAAGTACTATCAAACGGAGAAATGGGGTTAGTTCCTGACATCACTCAAGATTGTGACAAAACACCCATTGGCTCACTTGAAACCAGAATTGCATGCATTATGTTTTTCACATGGCAAAGCAGACCTACAGCAAAATGAGCCTTCAAAGCCCAATTCTGTTTCCTTTTAATTATCATTACTTTGCCTTATTATAGTGAAATCTTTAAACAATGCGTTACCCTTAGTCTTGAGAGGAAAAAGTTTTGTATGCTTCTTTACAGTAAATCTATATGCAGGCACAGTATGCTCACTGGAGATTCTAAAGGGAAAAAGTATCCCCTGAAGCCTAGCAAAGCATTAGGTAGAAATTTTTTTTAGAACATCCAGTAAAGCTATTTTTGAGGACATATTCTATTCTTAAAGAAAGTTCTTAAAATCAGCACAATTAAAGGATTTTTTTTCGTGTTTTCACACTGAACTCTTTCAAATATAATAGTTACAAATAGAGGTTTGTTCTGTGACCTCCTTCTTTGTTTCTTTGGCAAAAAGTACTACAGAGACAAATTTGAGCAGCCAGTCTTCAGTAGGAAAGAGAGGTTGTTATTGTTTGGAAAATGCAATACGGTCAGTACTGTTAAAAAGTAGTCAAGTATCTAAATGAAATACTCAGCATAATTGGACTTCTACAGATTTTCCCAGGAACATTGGTTCCTCACCTACTGTTATCTTGAGCTGTGGTCAAATACTTGATAAAATTTTCAGCTGGTTTAAATAGATGTAATTACGCTGACTTCAACAGAGAGCTGGCATTCAGGAGAATTTAGTCTGTTAACTTTTTGAAAGCAACCATTTTATTTATTCTTCATCTCTGAGCATTTATGTTCCAGCTGGTCTCAAAAAGCACATAACTGGAAGTTGTAAAGACATGCTGGGGAAAAAAAAAGTGGAAAGAAACTTGGCAGAAAAAGAGACAGTGAAAACCCAAAGCAAAAACTATGGCAATCTGAAGCACTTGGATAAAATGTACAGGATTTTCACCAGTGACACCTAGATGACCAGGATTTCACTTTAGGTGTGCTGCCCTGCTGTTACAGGGGAAGGTTGAGAGAAATGATTCCCCACCTGTATTTGGTATTTGTGAGGCTGCACCTGGACCGTATCTGTATGTGTGGGGTGTGGAGCACCCCTGTACAAGAAAGACTCTGATGGCCTGGAGCGAGTCTGGCAGAGGCCACCAAGCTGGGCTGGAACTCACAGCCCAGTGAGAGATGGGTCCATGCGGCCTGGAGAGGAGAAGGGTCTGGGGGCTGTCTATGGCTCTCTACACTATGGGAGAGCAGAGAGAAGACAAAGTTTTCTCGGAGGTGCCTGGTGATAGGATGAGAAACAAGGGATGAAGGCTGGAACACAGGAAAATCAGATTAAATATGAGGATTTTTTTTTCTCATCATAGGAGTTGTCAAAGGGGCCAAAAGAAGCTGTGGATGTACAGGGGCCAAGAGAGGTTGTGGATGCTCTGTCTCTAGAGATATTCAAAACTCAATTGGACAAAGCCCTGAGCAACCTGGTTTAATTTGGCTCTACTTTAAGCAGCAGGTTGGACTGGATGACCTCCAGAGATCCCTCTAAACCTAAATTATTCTGTGATTCTATGATCTGTTCAGTTACCTTAAATTATTCTCTTTGTTTTCTAAGAGATGTGGCTGTTTCAGGAATGGATCCAGCTGTTGATTGTATGCTTCAGGGGGCAATGTTAATGGAGGAGCTACAGCCCTTTTCGCCCCCTGGTAAACTCAGGCCTGAGTTTTTGTCATTTTCTACCTTCAGCTATTGTGTAGCATTGCTGAGCTTATAAAACAGCTGCTGTGAGTGGTGTGAGAAATAATTGCTGCATATATTTCATACAGCTTGTAAAATGATTTGGAAATTACTATAGAAAAGTGAGCTGCTACTTTTTTATCACTATGGATAATCCATCACACAAGATGGCAGATCTCTAAATAAGCTCTCTCTCTCTCTCTCTCTATATATATATATACACACACACATATTTTTATGTATGTGTGAGTGTGTGTGTATATATATAAGTATGTGCCTCTGTTCAACTCAACTAGCAGAAGCTGGATTCCAACTGTTAAGATAATGTGTGTTACCCTAGAATCTTTCCTAACATTTTGGCCACAGCCCATTTATTCCCTCAACTACTACAACCACAGTAATAACTGAAGAAAGAAAGATCTGCAAATGGGACAGCTGACTGTTCGGATGGGTGCAACGGAAAACTAGACTAGAACTTGAAAGAGAAATGCCTAAGTGTCAAGAAACACAACAGCCTCAGTCTATCCCCTAAAATATTGACATCTGAGCAAGTATAAAAGGGAAGCATTATGCATACTTTTTGTATTCCTAGCTGATAAAGGAAAATATTGCGGAAAGGATTTATGTTGTTACATAAAGAGCATAAGAGAGAGCTCCCACCCTCCGAAGTTCAAACGTGGCATGTAAGATTCATTCTTTTTCTTCCAAGAATGTGGTAAGGGGTAACTTTATACATCCTGCTTGCTTCAGCTTCTGTTTCTTTTCTCTACTTTTTAGGTGATGGCTGGATATCTCACTGGGTGAGCCTGGACATTTATTAATTATACTGTGAAGAAGTTTGAAGATGAAAAAGAGAGATCATTATTATCAAGGATTATTTAAACTAAATTTTTGGGAGGTTGAAATACAGTCCAGCTGAGAACTGCATGCCGAAGCTTTGGAAAAAACAGTCAGTCAGTAGGTTTCTACCAGTATGATGTCAAATTAAAATTACACTTTGCAACAGTAAATTCAGTGCTGATAAATCCCTGTGGATTAAACATAGGAAGCTGAAAGAATTAACACCTATTTTTTCTCATCCAGATCATTTTCCTTCCTATTAGGATTTTATTTTCAAAAAGCAACTTGAAATCTGTATCTGGAGATGTAAACAACTACACAGGGAAAAAGTGAGTACTTAGCAGCAAGTGAAGTTTGTCCAAGGATTACCATAGTGAATAAAACCAACTTCCCTTTTAAAAGCTGAGTGTACTATTTTGGGAATGTGACCCCTTTTCATGAATAAATGACGTGGTGACATTTACAGATAAAGCAAGATTTAACTGCTATGAAAGGAGATGACAAATGTCAGGATGTCAGTAATGATCTGTGAACATAATGGTCTCTCACCAGAGCACTGAGTAGATATATAATGTAACCGTCGCCCGCTAATGCTGCCGTGGAAGAAGAAAAGCAAAGCAGTATGAGGAAGATCAAAAACCTCTCTGGAACCAACCTTAAATCTGATTGATAGGCATTAGCACAATTTAGCTAATACATTACCCTGTTGATGACTTAAAGTTTTTTACCTTTTGCATATTACTATTAAACACTATGAAATTCTTGTATAACTTACAACTGTATTATGTCAGAGGATACGATGTTGGCCATAAAATGGGCTTTATGACAGTTTCTTTATCCCTACTGTATTGCCAGGCATAGTTGTTGCAAAGGTCTATCAACGTCACTGGAGCTGAGTGGAGCTAAGCAGCTAGAGTCTGGCTTGGGGCAGCCAGATTACTGCAGGATAGAGCAGGATTTTCCCTTGGCATAAATCAGTGGTGGAAAAGACCTACTAATGCACTTAGACACAGGAGGGTTATCCTCTTCAGGTATTGTCAAGGGTTGTATCTGTCAGCTTTCACAGCCTGGCAGACAGTGCATAGGCCCAGCCTTGTGATTGCTGTCAGTAAGCTCGCCTTGACAACTTCTTTGGAAAGCATCGAAATATGGAAGGGAAAAAGCTTTGTGTTATTTATGCAGTTGGCTTCTGAAGTTGTCTCAGGCAACTGACTCCCACTCCCAGGCCCCAAACCTAATCCCCACTTGTCTCACATACTGAATGCTTTCTCCAGCTGACAGTTAAACTGATTCCCGTTTGCCATTTAGAGTGTGGAGAGCGTCTGGAAATCTGAAGATTTAAAAATCCAGAGACCTAGGCATAGCATAGCATGGATGTCAGGGAGTTTCACTGCAGGAGCTCCCCAGCCTCCTGGCAACTTCACAGCTCTCTGCTGTGCAGTGGGTTTTGTTTTCTTTGTGCTTTGCTTCGACAGTTAGTCGACCTTTTCTCTGAATAGGTTAGCCTGCCACAGGGCTTGTGTTACTCAGAAGACCAAGGATGTTTTCAGAGAGATGGTGAAACTGTGATTGAAAGCCAGACATAGTCAAACACAGGTTCAATAAGCCAGAAAGGATTTGGCTGGTTGTTGTTGAGAAGAAATATCAGGGATAAAATATAAACATTGATACAATAAAAATGCACAGAACCAGTTTTTGGAACATAGTCAAGAAGATTTTGAACAGTGAATAAATGTATTTTTAAGGAATATTCTGAGTGAAAGCTCTTGTTAATAGAGCACAAGTGCATCTTTAACACTGCTTTTATAGATAGAGTAATCATGATATCTTTCAGGCAAAACCACATCACAAAAGAAACTCATCTCAATCTACTCCATCTTTTGATCTACACTTTACAGTCAGAGTCATCAATGACAATGGAGATGGCATTTCTGATAAGACAGCCAGCATTGTAACAATCATATATTGACATCACTAGCAAGAATTCATCTTGATTAACATTATCCATCTAAAAGTTAGATGTCTTCTCTGAGCTAATTCTTTTAAGCTTTTTGTAAAGTCAATGGGGAGACGTAGGCAGTACAGAGGGCAATCGACCCTATCCTGAGATAAGTATTGTAAGATAAATTGTGCTTATTTCTTGCTATTCACGGTAGAGGGAACCCGACTATCTAGAATAGGTCCCTACTTTTAAGGTGGCTATACTCAGATGAGACAAGTGAGAGGGGAAGGAGTAAAAAAGTGCCATTCTAATTTCCATGGAATCAACTGATCAGAAGGGTCAATTGCTTTAACTCGACCTTGTTACTGTGCAACATTAAACTGTTAAATATGATTAGGGAATTATGGTGAGGAGTCCTTCAACCACAATATCTTTACAGATATAAGAAAATTGTTACCAAAGATAGGAAATATCCTTTCTAAAATAGCAAATAATTAAAGAGTGGACAGGAGAAAAAGAATTAAGCACAAAACACTTGGAGTGTTATGAGAGCATTAAATTACTTAATCAATGTCTTTGTGGGTCCCTTTATAAAGGTACTCAGTTAAAGGGGAAGTAAAAGATGAATCTTGTGAAACTCCTTTCTGACAAAAAAGACACATCATTTGGAGAAGGAATGCAATCGTTCTGATAGTAGGTGGGGAAAAGACAATGTCAGTGATCTCAGGATATAAGACAACCAGTCAGATACAGATGCATGCTCTGTTCATAGCTTGACCACCACAGCCATGGTTGTGGGGTCTGGCTCTTTCCAGATACAGATGCATGCTCTGTTCATAGCTTGACCACCACAGCCATGGATGTGGGGTCTGGCTCTTTCCCTCTTACTTGAGAAATCATCTAGCTGGACTAGTATAGCCTTTTCTCTACTGCTTATTATTCAGGCTGAACAAGAGTGGAGGGATCATCTCATCCTACTCTGCTAAAGATACTCACCTGGCAGGGCCCTAGTCAGAATTTAGCTGCTCGTGCTCAAGGTTGGCTATGATATGCTACGACTGGGTAATCTTGGATCAGATTGCTGAGAGAAGAGCTGGGTAATGTCTCACTGAAGCTGCTATTAAACTCAGGCTCTTGATTCTTGCCTGAGCTGTGTTCTGATACGCACGTGGTTGGCTGTGTTCCTTGCTTGTTTAGACCTGATCCTGTGACTTGGTTTCCCAGCTTGACCTTGGGCTTGCCGTGTCGCTGTGGGCTCACCTGGGGTTCTGGACTCTTGACTGGCCCTGGTTACAGTCCTGCTCAGCTTGCTGGAGTGCTGTGGGGCTGTGCCCTTGTGGGTGGGGACACTGCCCTGTTATCATCCTTGCTCCTGGCTCCTGTATCCTTGTGGAGCAGCTATGCATCCTTAGTGCTCTCTCATGTTACCTCAGTATCACATGAGAGAAGATGAGGAGCCAGAGAAGGAAAATTTTGAAAGAAAAAAGGGGAGACACAGGGCGAAGAAGACAAAATGGATTCCTTATGTATCAGCAGAATACTCTTGCTGATCCAGTAGGAGTAGTCAGGTATATTTGTGTTGATATGAAAGTCCCAGGGGATACATGTTATCTATTAAGGCCAGGTTTCGTGATGTGAAACAGTAATCCTAGAAGCCATGTAATCTATGATTTTAGTCCACAAAAACACTTCTTGAAAACGTCTAAAAGTAATGTCTGGATGGAATAACCAGGGTCTATTTACTGCTTGGGTCTAATTTTTAACCTTTCCATCTTAATCCAGGGATTTTTATTTTCATGTACTTCTGACTTGCTAGATGTATATACTAGTATTAGTGAACTATTTCTGTTTAAACTATGTGGGGTTTTTCAGTGTAGTTTTTTGTTTGAGTTATTGTAATATTTAACAAATTCTCATAATGGGGTGGATTTCTAGCTTATAGTTATGGGAATATTATTTCAGCCTGTGGGGGTGAGAGGCCCGTTGCAAAATATGCTAACAGTTCTAATCTCTATGGAAAACCTATGAGAGAATTTTACTTGTTTACTTACAAAATCCTGAGTTTTTCCTTCTGCTTCTACTGCTCTTTATACTCACAAACACAGCTGAGAGACATCAATGGTTATCTCAGCCCTGATGCTTATTAACAAAGAGTAGTAACTGCTGATACAACAACCCGCCTGGAATTATTTTTAGGGAGGGGGTGGAATGGGTTGACCTAACATAAACATATTATGTTAGGAAACCAGAATTTTCAAAAAAAACACATTGTTTCAAATTTCCTTTGCTGAAAAAGCGATGTATTCTTTTTACTCAGACCTCTCTCTCTCAAAAAAAAAAAAAAAATGCAAACGACTGAATAGGAAAATGGTGCTGAAAGTAGAATTATAATATGCTATAGGCATTCAGTGTCAGTCAAGTTCTTCCATTTTAATTTTTATTCTGAGTTCTACTCAAGTATAAATATGTATACAAATTCTTACCCTTAATTAACTGTAGAGCTTACAAAAAGCATTTATTGCTCTCTGTTTCTTTCCTATCACTCCCTTTATCTCCCTGATAAGAGCTGCATGTTGAGTAGACACACTATAACCCCATAATTTGAAGCTACTACTATAGAATCAATTCTTCTGGATGATACCACACCTTGCCAGTCAAAAATGATTTGAGCTTAAATTGTCAGTTAAAGATGCTCTTCAGTTATATTGTCCTGAACTTGCAGGCAGTCTATTGGATGAAGTGAATTACTTCGTTGCTGAAAATGCTTGTAATTTTGTGTGAAGGACACAATCAGAATACACAATATTTTTTCCGCCTTTACATTTCCCAACCTGCTCTGCTCCTTTGGTGCCCAGGCATATTACAAAATTGCTGACATCTAAAGTGATCAATCAAATCCTTTGCAGTTCTGTAAATGATCAAGCTTAACTGTCTAGGCAGCTGCTGTTTGGTGGTGCTCCATCTGGAAAATAAAACACAAACATCAAAAGAAGTTCAGCTAAGTTTATACTTTGGAATGTTTTCTTGACAGTGTATCTGTTATATAAACAGAGTCTCTTAGGTCAAATTAGAT